AGTAGACGCATGAGTTCCTGGGAGTAGATGGCCTGTCGTCTGCGCTTCTAGAGATCGAACTCCTGGCTGCCTTGGGGTCAGGCGACTTGGGATATATTCTGATGAGACGCCATATCCCCCTCTCTCATTCCGATCGCGCGAATCATTGCGGCGGTCTCCTCCAGACCCTCCTTGCTCATACCGCCCTTGCGAATCATTCCGGCGGTCCCCCGAGTCATATCGCCCTCGTGACTCATCGCGTCGGTCCCCTCGGTTGTACCACCCCCGTGACTCGTCGCGCTGCTCTCTCGCATCTCCCCGAGCTCAAACCGTCCGCGCGACCCATCTCGTCGTTCCCAGTCCCGATCTCCTCTTTCATACCTACCACCTCTGTTGCCATCTCGCCCCGACCTCTCGTATCTGTCGTCCCTATATCCGTCTCGGTCCGATCTCTCGTATCTGTCGTCCCTATATCCATCTCGGTCCGATCTCTCGTATCTTTCGTTCCTATATCCATTTCGGTCCGATCTCTCGTATCTGTTGTCCCTATATCCATGTCGTCGGCCCTGATCTGTCCCCCATCGGCCGCGGGAGTCGCCTCTACCCCGATCGGCCTCATAGCGAGGGTTTCGCGGGTAATCATCCAGCCTCCTTGCTCGCGCAAACGGCTCGCGATCTCTGCGGTCTCGGTCTATCTCATCATCCCTACGTCGCCATGGCTCATCGTCTCTCTCTCTTCCCCTCGTACGATAATCAGTCAGCGTCCGAGGATTTCTATCCTCGACACTCCTCCAGGAATCGTTGTTCCTACGGTCCCAGCGAAGTGAATAGGGCCCTCCAGGTTTGTCCCGGTAGGCCGTGGCCCCTGTAGTGGTCACAATCTCTGTAACCTGTTTCGTCAATCTCTTCACCATGTCCCGTATCTCCTTCACTTCCTCAGCCAAGGCCTCATTCTTCTCCGACCAGGGATAGTCCTTGAAATCAGGACATCTATCCGTGGCATATTCCTTGTAGAGAGAAAAGTCACGTCTCCTCATCCCTCTCCACACCAAGTCCTTGTAATCGTCTGCCTCTGCCTTTATCGCGAGCTTTAGGACTTGTAGGAAATCAAGCCTGTCGCGCAGAAGATCTCTAAGTATACTGTTTTGCCTACCTTTGGACAAGTGTCCGATGAAGATAGTACAGCGCTCGACCTCTGAGATCTTCCCTTTTTTCATCAGCACGTCGGAGATCTTGTGGAAACGCATCCCAAATGTCCGTACGCTCTCTTCTTCATCTTGAGTCATTGTTTCAAGGTCCTTGATGGAATACTTGTTATCCTCCAATTTGTAAAGCTAAACGAGGTTCTTCTTGTACGTAGTCCATTTCCCATCCTTCGGTCGAGCTTCCTTAACTTCCCTACCGAGACATGGGTCCACATTAAATAGGAAGTTCTCTATAATCTCTTCCTCCGACCACTGACTTCGGCTGACGTGAAACTCCCACTTCTCCAGATATTATGTGATACCATAGCCCCTGAAGGTAGGAGGCTCTGAGGCCTTGTGCGTAATAATATAGCGATCCTTGCCCTCCTAAGGGAGCGGATGTGACTCCCCTGTCTCGGGGTCGAAGACCCGCCTGGGCGGCGCCCTGTCTCTATCGCTGTCCCTCCAATAGGAATTCCTCAAACTCTCTCTCTAGTCCTCTCTGTGCCTGTCCGCTATGGTGTCCTTCCGCTCGTACTCGGGGGAGCGTCGCCTCGTCGCTTCTCGTCGTCCGCTCGAGGTACCCTTCTTTAGAGCCTCCTGCGGCTCTGTCGCAACTGGTTCGCCCCTTACGTCGGGCCCTCCGTCATTGGTTTGGTCAGCCCATCTCAGCGGTGCTTCTCGCCTAATTCATTCCTTCAGATCCCTCAGAGCTCGATCGGGCGATGTCCTGTACTCCTCTCCCGCTTCGCCCGTGGTCGGTTGTGGCCCCATCGTGTCGGGTTCTAGCCAACTGTTACAGCCCGACCCTATGACAGTCGCTGCAGCCTGGACCTGTGACAGTTGCGGCAGCCCGGACCTGTTTCCTTGTCACGGCTCGCGTCCGCCTCCAATCTTAGCTCTCGACCGCCTTGATTACCACTTCCAGTATCCTGTACCGGTCGCGGATCTCGTGCTCTCCCTCTATCCCAAGAATCCCTGTGTCTAAGTAAACCTCTCCTTCGGGATCGGCCAACAAGGTCGTGCCTCTCCAGATCTGCAGTACACCCGTGACAGGACCTCTATCCTTGAGACAGATCGCAGTCCCAAACCTAGCCAATGTCTCCTGATCAACACCCCTCAAGAGTCTCCGAGCGTCTATCTCCGTCCTCCTTGCTAGTTCTCCTAGCCCTGTCCTGAATCGGTTAGCCCGCAAAAGGCTCTCCTACTCCCATCCAAAGCTGCCCATCGACCTTTCTAGCTTCCACTATCCTTCCAAGAGCTTCCAATTTCTATTTTCACTCCCTTATCTCTCAGACGGCTACGAGGTCATCTGTCTAGCAGTTGAGGTAAGTTAGTGCTATAACCACTTGTAACCTCATCGCCGACCGCTCCAATATGTCACAAAATGTCTCAAAGTTCTCCTTATCTCCACCATCCTCTATCGCCTCTAAAGTCTTTATCGATTCCTTTCAGTACCGGTCGTGAGCGGCTAACACCCTGAGTATTGCACCATCTGTTACAACTCTCCCTAACTCTCCAGCTTTCCTGGCTTCGCTTATCTTCAACCTCTCAGCCTCTCTGGTCGTCTCGTACCATGCCCTTATCCGAGACCGCCCTTCGAAAGGTGTCACTTGGAGTATGTATTTTATCCTCCGTCCTCCTTCTCTTCCAATCCAAAGTCCTGTTCCCCTAGCCTCACGTAGCGCGCGGCGGACACACTCTGCCTCCTCAACTATGCACAGTCTGGTATGGAGCTGGAGTTCTATGATCACTAACACTAATGGTCCGTCCAGTCTCCCTACCACATGTAATGGGTACCGATCCGTTGTGTGTAGTGCAGTCCCGCTCATGTCCTGTCGCTACTTCCCTGCGTTACTTTGTCTTCTGTTGTCTCGCTCTCTGCAGATCGCTCACTAGTTTCTTCGCGTGATACGCTTCTAGCCTTTACCCTYTCCAGAAAGTCTGATCTYCACGCCTGGATAATCTCTCTTTCCTCCCTAAACAGAYTCTCTAACTCTCTCGTCACGAGTTCAGCCCTACGCAACTTGCCCTCGTCCTGACACGACCAGATCTCCCTTAACTTGTYCCCCAACTTCTTTAYCTGGTTCAAGAGTGGTTCTTTAACGCGCTTTCTCACTCTTCCGACTGCCTCACTCTCCTCTTCCATACTCAGTCCACATCTTTTTCCAGCTCATCCTCTCACCCTCGCTCTAGCCTCCGCTACCGTCTCATCGTGGTAGTGCTCCGCGCGCATATAACCATGAGACCATATCATCACATCATAGGAAATCGAGGTCTGGAAGGTCACTCGCGCCAGTACATCAGCTCTACGCTCGTGGATCAAATCCCTGGCTCATTGTCTGCACTCCCTCGCCGTCAAGTCCTCGTCCACGTACTCTCGGAGAAGTACTGTCACAGTGTATCCTGCGCTTACCAGTTGCTCTCCTACACGCATCACCGTGGCCGTCCTTCCCGGCATTCCCTAAGTTGCGGCCTCGAAGAGAAATCTCACATCCTCTAGCCCCACGTAATCGATCTCTGCCCGTCTCCTGCAGTACCTAATCAGATCGATTGGCCTCAGACAGTCCACCCAGCTAGTAACGTCTATGATGTCGTCAAGCGTCTCTCTACTGGGCGGCCCCCACCTCACACAAATGGCGTAGTATACTTCCTTGAAGCGGGGCGCTAAGCCCTYCYAGAGYGCGTAAAGTGTGTGGTCCACTGCTCTACTCAAACGATCCACGCTCCCATAGGTCTGCCCTATCACGAAGGTAGGAAGTCCAAATCTCCAATCCTCTCTCGGGTAGAGGGTCGGATGTGGTGGACCGTATACCAAGCAGCTCCAACTCGTCCTCCCTCCAGAGAGTCTCGCAAGTTGCTGATTAACAATCACTCTGGCCAACGACTCGCTTCTCCACCAACTCCTGCTCGCCCCTGCGAGCGTCGGTCCTATCTCTAAATTGTGTGCTATATCCGCTATCAGATGTCTGACCCCTTCTAGATCATGAGTCCTCTCGGGTCGTTCGTCTCGTAGTATCACTGTCCAAAGGAAGAGCCCCTCTGCGAGCCACGTTCCCAAGTATCGTATCGGTACACGCCCTGCCTCTTCTAACGCCACAGGAAGTGGTATGTCGTATCCAACCGCCGTCTCTCTCGGTCCCACAAGCTTCCTCACACTATACGATTCGGACTCTCGTGAGAGAACATAAGCTAACCAGGCCACTGAATCACTTCTCATCTCTCCTCCTACTCTTGGTCAGCATCACTCTACTCCCTCCGATGCACCCCATCTCTCGACGTTGCTAACCCTTCAGACAACTCTCGCACTCAGGTCCAGTATGGTCGAGTAGGATCAGTAGCTAAGCTCACTCAACCGTCGCCCTAATGTGCCCCTCTACCTCCTACGCCCGGACTGCTACTCCTATCCTGGGAAAATGGGCGTCTGTAACGTCAATCTCCTCCTCGTCAACCTCACTCTCTGGGTCGACCCAGTCTGGCTCCCAGGCGTCCTCGTCGTCCTCTCGCTCCCAACCTTCGTCGTCAAACTCGTCCTCGACGCGGTATGACGCCTGTCTTATACCCTGGTAGTATTCCACCAACTGATGGCCGTATATCAGAGGTCGCCTGGCGTCCTCACGCCACCAGCTCTCCCAGTCGTCTGAGAAGAACCGCCCGATGCAGGTCACGTACTCGGGGCCTGGTCGGAGCTCACGGTCTAGCCAATCCCAAACGCACGGAGACTGGGGTCACTCGTCATCTATCGAGCGGATCAGCTCTATAAGATGAACCCTCTCGTCTCCCCAACGAGGCCCACCGGTTGCGAGCGAATAATAGATGTAGTCTAGGCCGGTAGGCCTTGTCGCCAGGATCTTGAGATCCTGATAGGCCAGGTATGTCTCGACCACTCCACCAATACCTCCAAAGACGCTCTCTACTACGAACGTCGGAACTATCGCCCGCAGGCTCCTAACGCTGTACGGGAAAAACCCGTCCCGTGCTACCACCAGCTCGCCCGTGATATCAAGAGGAGGGCGTCCGTGATATAGGGTCAACGGGTCGCTCGAGTCCTCCGCTCGAAAGGCAGTTACCTCTTCCCCTAGGTAGCGTAATGCCCTGCTAACTGTGCCACTAGTCCCTGTCGTCGCAAGGCCCACCACGGCCTCCCTGACCGCACCCGGTCCCAAATACAAGTAGGCTCTCACTACGCCCACTTCTTGCTCCGGCCGGTGCTCTCTGTACGTCCAAAGCCACACGTCCTCGGACAAGATTATGGACCTCCACGCAAACTGGCCGTCAACGTGCCGATTGTTGCGCCCGGGGATCGTGAGCTCGACCAGATCCCCCTCTATGAGTTCAGGGGGCTCCAAGTCCCAGTCAATGGTAGCCCCATAGACCTCTACTTGCACCCGCGGCGACATTCAACTGGCGGCTAGAGAGAACGCAGCAAGAGGGAGGTGTAGATTAATAACTGAAAATTTTCGTCGCTTGCCTCACGCCTTCGGGAACAAGCTAGTAGGTTCACCCGAAACCAGGTTACCGCAGCGTCTCTTTCCCTTCTTCTTCTAGGGAATTCTTTTGTATTTTTCAATTATAAATTAAAAAAAATATATTGAGTTAAGATAAAATTTCTTTCTTAGTTTATATATATTAAGGATCAATACATATATAAGCCCGCCGAGTTTGATGATTTTTAGGGGTATAAATAAAATTTGGGGAATTAACTAAAATTTCGCCAGCGTTTCTCCTTCCCCCGTTGGGACGGGGTTCGGGCGAAGCCCTCAAACAGCGCTGCCGAAGAGGGAATATCAAAAGGAATAATGGAAAAAAAGAAAAATTGATTTAACTCGATTTTTAAATATTTTTGTTACTTAATTAACAAAAATTTTAATTAAAAGGGAAATTTCGAGAAATTTCGACAACAGTTTTCCTTCCCCCCCGGTGAGATGGGGTTCGGAAAAAAGTCCCTCAAATAGGTAAAGTAGATATGAAGAGCATTGAAGTCAAACAAATGCCCCTACGCAATTTTTAATATTTCTTTCAATTTTTTTATCGATTTTAAATAACAAAATCAAAAGTAAAATAATTCTTAATTATTTAATGGGGCAAAACTTCCCGAATTAATTTCCACAATCTTACGGGATATATTTGACAAAAAATAATCCGTAACAAATGCGGAAGCTTGAAGCTATGGCTTCCCTCTATCTATCCGCTTC